TACACAAGAACTTAATTAAATGTCATAAAGATAATAATGCAATTGTAAAAAATAAAAGGGGCTGGAGAGGTAGCTCAGCAGCAGAGCTCTCGCTTAGCATAAGTGAGGATCTAGATTCAGATCCCCAACACTGAAAAAAATTTTTTTTCTTAAAAGAAAACAGCCTGTCAGTGGGTACTTAGGAAGCAGAGGCAGGCATATCTCTGTGAGTTCAAGGCCAGCTGGGCTACAGAGCGAGTTCCAGGACAGGCTTCAAAGCTACAGAGAGAGAGAGCTAATCTCGAAACACCAGGAAAGAAAAAGAGAAGAAAGGAAGGAAGGAAGGAAGGAGGGAGGGAGGGAGGGAGGGAGGGAGGGAGGGAGGGAGGGAGGGAGGAAGGAAGGAAGGAAGGAGGGAGGGAGGGAGGGAGGGAGGGAGGGAGGGAGGGAGGGAGGAAGGAAGGAAGGAAGGAAGGAAGGAAGGAAGGAAGGAAGGAAGGAAGGAAGAGCAAGCGAGCAATAAATTGTCCCCAGCAGTAGAAGTTCAAGTTGTTTAGCTGATAAAGGACCATGATGCATGGTCAATGGCAGAAACACACACCAGCTTGAGCAGATCAGCAAGCCTCATTTCTTTACCCAGCCCAGCATTTGTCTCCCAAGGGAAGGAAGATCCACATGGTGTCTGCCTTGGTCCTGAAGCGCACCCAAGAAGCTCTGGGTGACAGGGGATGGAAGAACCCAGAAAGGAAACAGTTTTGTCTGGGTCTCCCCTTAGCAAACAAGGTAGAAAAAGGGCTTGAGTCTCCTGCTCCCTGGTAGAAGAATGGGTGGGGCAGGGGGTCAGTCAGCCAGGGCACCTGAAGAGAATTTCAGGGGAGGGTGAGGAGGGAGAGGGGAAGAGGGTGTGTGTACAAAGACAAGGAAGCGCTGGAGAGCAAAGCAGAGTAAGAAAGAAACTGAACCAAGTTGTGCAATCCTGGGAAAATGAAACGGGTATAACAAAGCACTGTTATCTGGCTGGAGAAAAATGCAATGGGGTCCAATCCAATTGCAATACTGCAGCACTGAAATCATAGGGAAGCACATGGAAATAACCACGCCTCCACCCATCCTTGGGAAACAGATCCATACCTGTATTTTCCTAATAGGAAGTCGTATGGAAGCCCGCACCAACGGTACTACAGCCACCAAGCAGAGCGGCCATCACAGCTAGCAACTCCCAAGCCTGCTGACATCACCTTCTGCCTTCAAGCTGAACACGTGGCTCTAGGACCAGCTTCTTCTACACTATCTGGGAGTTTGTTAGGGATGCAGAATCATGGGCCTCATCCGAGTCCCTGCTCAACCAGAACCTACACTTAATAACATTTATGTTTATGTGCATATTCAAGTTCACGAAGCACAGCCTCTGCTATAAGAACCTAACTGAAGTGTTTAAATAATATCAGTTACATGAACTGAGACTACAGAGCCAGGCAGAACTTAGTCCAACTAGTTCCATTATCTGCTGATGTTTGTCCTATGGGAAGCCAGGCCCTGGGCTAAGTATTTCGGGAAATGACGGGCTAAGGTTAGGCCAGGTGACTGTAGAGCTCTTAAGTGAGAACGCAGAAAACACATAATTGCCTTGCACTTCAGAGAAGTGAAATCGAAGGTAATAGAGTTTGGTGGAGTCAAAGCTGCAGTGCAACGGGAGACCAGGAAGCACGCAGCAACTGCCCCGACTCTCAGACAGGTGAATCTGGCTGCAGGGAAGTGAGAGGTCTGTTCCCAGAGGTAACAGCAGGAGCACAGGGCTGCAGTGCAGAGCCCTGTTGTGGGCTAAGAAAGCCAAGGCCTTCTGCACAGGGCAGGTCAGACGGTTGCAAGTGCCTGACGACACTCCAGAGCACCGAATGGAGGAGCCCCAAGCCAGTGGGATCGCTGGTGCCCCATTTCTACCACGTAAGACTACACTTTAGCAGTGGGTTCTGACATTGAAATTTTTTCAGTATATCACTGAACATCCACAGACGCTTTTAAAATCTGCAACTAAGGTTGCACCTAGCACAGGGCAGATTCGCTTAATAAATAAGTCGTTGAGGTCAGAGTGCGGCGGAGGATCTTGCTTGCTCGTAGAGCAGAGGTTTATGTTACACTGGGGCCCTGCAGGAGACTTGACTAGTGAGTATGTTTTAGAGAGCTTGTTCTCCAAAAGCAAGGACGAAATGCTTTAGGAATGGGAGAGACAAGAGATGGCAAACTAATGGGTGAGGGGTTAGCATCTAGAAAAAGCTTGCACAAAGGCATTTGCACTGGGAATACGAAGACGGACTCTGCAGAGGCACCGTGGAGATGGAAGCCGTGGCTGTGGAGCACCTGGTGCAAAGAAACAGCATTGGGGAGGCTCAGTGCGCTTGGGGAAATGTGAAAATCAATGCAAAGTTGCCCCTGCATATCTAAAAGAACCATGGTGATGAGCTTAAGTTTAGATTTAGGAAATAGATGGTAGACCTGAGGCACAGAGAGCAGTGCAAGGCCCTCTAAGGGGTTTCACTGTGTAAATATGAAATTAGGAGGGATGCAGAACTATGATGTCATTTCAGGAAGAAATCATCTTTATTAATAAAAGACAACACTGGATAAAAATCCACAAAAAAACCCTACAGAGCAAAGTAAATCAAGAAAAGGCATTAGATTTAAAATAAAAAACAAACAAACAATGAAGAAGAAAAATGTTGGGATCATACTGAGATCCATGGGAACAGAGACAAGAATGAGAAACAGTGACAGGACGATACTGAATGATATATAGAGGGGATGATAATAATAATAATAATAATAATAATAATAATAATAATAATAAAACAAGCAAACAGAAACCAGGGAAAATTTCAGCACACAAACACTGTCATTCATATATCTATATATACTGTAGATAGATAGATAGATAGATAGATAGATAGATAGATAGATAGATAGATATGGTGTGATAGATAGATAGATAGATAGATAGATAGATAGATAGATATGGTGTGAGAGGAAAAGAGAGAAAGAGAGAGAGAGAGCACTGTCAGTTGAGGTCAGGTAGTAACATTTTCAAACTCAGGCAGAAGAAGGGGAAAGCAGAGTCTTGTTCATGGAACCCAACACCACCCAGCATTATTCTACGCAGATTTTCATCCCCCGAGTTGCTTGTTGGGATGGATTCTCTTCACTCCCAGCGCCAGGACATTTGATCATCACACAATAGTCCCACTTTGTGGAGCTCTCTTCCAGCTATCTGCTGCGCCTGGGTGCCAAGTGCTAACCACACTTCTGTCTAATTTGACTGAGGAGGAAATGCCTCCATTTGGTTTCCTTCTGACTCAGTTCAAAGAGACAAACTGTTTCCTTTGGTCCTGGGAATCTGAGTATTGTTAAAATGCTGTAAGCTAGGAACATTGTTTCTCTTAATATCAATGACAGTACTTATTAGGTTCCTCTTAAATCATTTACCTATGCAACCATAACACAATATTATGTAAATGAGATGCTTCAGGGATTATACTGCAAAACACGGGTGTCCACACAGGACTATGCCAGCGATGCTTCCCAGTCTTGGAGAGTTCACCTTTCGGAAATCATGTACTACAAATGCACCCAGGAGAGGTCAAGGAGATTTACAAGAATAGCTTATTTGATCTGTGGTTTTCACCTTAAACTCCCTCAAATCACTTTCAGAGATGAGTAAAAGTGTAAATGATGAACTCACAAACACTTGATGACAGAAAAATATAAAATTGGAACAGCGAACGCTTTGACCAAATAAACATATTTTCACCTTTTTATAAGTAGCCAAAATTGCAAACCAGTATTTTACATTCTAAGGACATTCATCTATGACAAGAAAGGACAGCCCATACTCACTGCACACACGCTATTAAAATACGATTGAAGGAGCTGAAACAGGCAAGAGCAGACCCCAAAACACTGAGGGGAGGTATCTGGAGCCTAATCGTTTGAGATGGGCTCGGTAACTTTCAGAAAAGCTCCCCGTCTCATTTAATAAACACATTTCTCAGCCCTTCCTAAATTGTACGGACGCTGCCAACCTACCCTACCACGCAAGGTTGTTTTCCATTTGGGCATCTATTTTCCCTGTATCTTGCTTCATTGTGGCAAAGTTTGCAATAGCCTCTGTGTACTGCGCATCAGATAAGCGAAACCAGTGAGAAACGCCAACCTCCTCTCTACATGAAAATGGTTCCAAATCCAGGAACTTTTGAGGCCATTCCAAAATTCTTTGTGCTCATGGGGGCAGGGGCATTTTATTTTCCTTGAAGGACCCAAGAGATTTGCTATCAGAGTGTCCTCGGGAGTCACAGGAAGCAAAGTAGGAGCGACCTCCCTCTAGCCTAGCCTTCCCCTCATCCCAAGGCCCTCACACAGCAGAGGCAAAACAGATGGTCCTCCCCCTCCTGTTTCCCTCCTGCCTTCCGCCATCCCGCAGAGTCCTCCCACCCTGAGCTGACACCTTCACCAGCTCTCACTAGCCCAGGCTGCCCTTTGCAGCTCCTAACAAGTACAAACTTTGGGCATCTGCTCTTAAACCTCATCATCCACCTAGCTCCGGGTCTCTTCTCTGCAGAATGCCCTTGGGACCCTAAGCTTCCACTGTCATCCTCCCCTCACACCTCGGTACCCAAATTACTCATTTCCCTTGAGTAAAAAGAGTCTGCAAAACCCCGGAGTTCCGGGGGCAGAGGCGCTGCCGCTGACCCCTGCGAGGTTCTCCTCGTCCCCCATCCTTCTCCATGCTCCCTTTCCGTCAGGCTTATCCCAGCCCACCCTGGGGACCCTTTGCTCGTCTGGCTTTCACGACCTATTCCTTGACTCGAGGGGCTGGAGGGAGCCTCGCCTCTGCGGCCGGGGCAGCGGCCAGGAGCCCGCCTCTACAAGTGGGGCGGCGGGACGGAGCGCAAACTCCACCGTTCGCCGAGGAGGAGGCGGTGGGGACCGGCGCGGACGCGGCGACGCGGGGCCGCTCGCCCCAAGCTTACCTCTGCGCGCGGGCGGCGGGTGCGCTGGGGCAGCCGCTCCCGAGGCCGGGGGGCTGTGGCCGGTGTTTGGGAGGCGGCGCTCCCGCCAGGGCTGCGCTGGGGCTTCGCGCAGACGCTCTCCCGCGGTCTGCGGCAGCCCGGGGCGGTGGCGCCGGCGACAGCTCTGCGCCGCGGCCCCCGGAACTGTCCGACCCAGCGGGAGCGCGGGCTGAGCGGCTGGTAGCGGGCTCCACGCTCAGCGCCTGCGCGCCCGGCCTCGCCCAGGTAAGGGGCGTGTGCCCGGGTCCTCGCGGGCCACCGGGACCGACCGGCGTGAGGACGGGGCGAGGCGCTTGGCGCGGGGGATGTTGCGGGCCGGGAGTGAACGCCACGGAGACGCCCGGGGGCGGCGCAGCCTCGGAGCCCGCCTGGCCACCGGGTCCCACGCGCCCCTCAGCCTCCAGCAGAGGTCAGGGTGGGGAGGAGTGAGGTCCCCCAGCCGGGATGCCAACCTTGCGCGTGGGGAGGAGGGGAAGAGGGGGACGTGTCACCTATTGGCCAAGCGGACTGAAACTCTTCTTGCAGCTACTTGCCACCAAGTATTGGCTCTGCGGGTGCGTGCAGCTCCGGGCTGGTGGGCAACACGGTGCAGCCTCCGCGTGGGCCCAGGGCTTCGCAGCCCGGTGCGAACCCGCAAGGCTCGTGCGCAGGGGAGGGGCTCGCTTGCCTCCCACTGCCAGGCCTGGTTGATTGAAGTTTCAAAAAACTAAACCGTGTCAGGGGTTTCCCCCGGTGTAAGCCATCTTCTGAAAATAGTGCAGACACAGCCAGGGCGTTTGCTTCTGCCAGGGAAAGCACTTCAAAGAAAACACTGGGGGGAAGGAAACATAATTTTAAGGGCTCGGTCTTCTGAGATGATTTCTTTGGGAAGAAATTCAAGGGTAACAAATGACAAGGGAGCCCTGTTAGGCAGTGGAGGATTTTTTTTTTAAAACCAGATTACTTGACTTTGAAATATATTTCTTTGGATCTTGTCTTAGATGATTGACACTAAAGCCATAAATTATTAATCCAGCAGCTGTTAATGTCTTGGCATAGTGTCCAGAGTAAATACCTTCGAGTCCAGCCAAAGCCAGTGCTGCTTCCGGGGTGGGATTGAGATCCCGTGTACGTACACTCGCCCCATTCTAGAGCCTTCCGAAAAAGCAGCTTGCTTGCGTTTTTGGGTTTTGTGTGTGTGTGTGTGTGTGTGTGTGTGTGTGTATGTGTGTGTGTTTAATCCACCTTGGAATGTCAGTTTATTGCAGGCGCCAGCGCACCTGAGGTAACCAGCATGAGAAAATGGGACATTAGTTTGACTGATGGTCTTTATATTTTTAGAATCCAAACATCTTCTAGGTAGGCAGGCTCACTCTAAGGACAGACCGTTACTGGTATGTTTATTATTACTACTGTTCTCTATTCAAAATGACTGCACGAGGCAAGCTACAAAATTCATAACCTCACAAGAACATGAAGAACTGCAATTGCTTGAAGAAGTCTTTATAAAAATGATGGCCCCAATGCTTCTTCCTGTCCATGAAGGTTATATTGAAAGTAAGCCTCGTCTGCGTTCTGAGAATGAGGCTCTGGAAAACTGAGGCCCTCAGGAACTTCTATGAGGAAAGCACCCAGTTTCCAGTCCCTTGCACTTGAGGGTTGAAAACAGGGTAGTTGCCTTAGGAGGTTCTGACCTCACAAGTATTAGCATTCCCAGAACTCTAAGGAGCATGGAGAATGGGAGGGCTCTGGAGGCCTCCAGCCAACACCTTTGTACTTGGAGAAAGAAGAAAGAAAAAAAAAAAAAAGAGAGCAAGCCCTATGGGCCGGAACACCTGTGCGAAGCACGCCTCATAGCTTGCACGATTTAGCAGGATGTGCATTTTTTATGTCCTGCAATCTGCAACTATATCCTTCTCTCCTCCCTGTCTATTTTTAATCACTTATAGCCAAGATGTATGGGAGAAAATAATTTGAGGGTTGCATTTCCTAACAACAGCTGAAAGAAGCATAAAATATTTGCAGATGAGTCTTTTTTTTTTTTAACCTGTGACTTAAGAGACAAAGAACTGTGCCCTCTGTGTCCTTAGCCAAGGTAAGAAAAAGGCTTCTAGAAGACCATGTACCAAAGCAATTGCTATGCCTTCCTGGAAAATACCCTTCAATATGGAAACAACTGTAAACTAAAAGAAGCGATGTATAGGGAAAATTCAATGAAAGCTACGTTTCCCGTCCAAAGTGTGATCGTCTGTCAGCTCATTTGGCATTGACTGCTTTCCCGGATCTGTGTGCTGGAGGGCAACTTCTGGTTCTCTGGGCTGCCACCCTTTTCCTAAAACTGTTCATCAGTAACAGAGAGCTGCCACCCTAAACAAAGACTATCCGCTAGGAACGCACAGGTGAAACTAGCACATCATGGAAACACCCTGCACGGGAAGAAACAGAGCAGAAAGAGATCCAGTTAAGCCTTGCCCGCTTTTGTGTTTATGAGGTATACAGTTGGTAAATATCTCCTGAAAGTCATACTAAATGCAGTCAAACTCCCTTTCAATAACCTTGTTAGCCCCTCCGCAGTACGTAATAGTGATAAATCGATCAACTGACTTGAAAACTTTAGAAATCTTTTGGTTTTATGTTACAATACCACGTGTGAATTTACACATAGCACATTCCTATAGAACAAGCCTCTGCTGGCATTTGATATTTCTTTGCAGCTACCAGTGCCTCAGTACACCCAGTCTTGGGGATGGGAACATCCTCTGAATGCCACTTTTGTTGTGGGACAGAGGTCAGAAACTTTAGCTGCGGCTTCCCAGCCTAGGGTTTCTGTCCTGTGGCACAAGACTGATGAGAGGGAGCCTTAATGAATTTCTGCAATTTCTGCATTTCTGCAAAGTCGTGCTGTGTAGAAACCTCACAGAAATACAGGACGCTGTTGGCCGGTGGATATCTCACTCCGGTTTCTCTTTCCCTTCGTGCCTGTCCGGGTACTACGTAACCCTTCAAAGTGTTTCATGAATTTTGCAGTGGTCCCCTCGAGGAAGGTGCAGTGATGACTCTATCTTAGGGAAGCTCTGCTGCTGTACAACCGAGGAAGAAGGGTTTCCATGCTGGAGGGCTTGACTTCTGACCTGTGCTTAACTGGTGTGTATGCTCTAAAGTTCGCCTTTTAAAATCGTGACGTGTGTGTGTGTGTGTGTGTGTGTGTGTGTGAGAGAGAGAGAGAGGGGGGGGGAGGGAGAGGGAGAGAGAGAGATGTGTGGAGGTCAGAGGACAACTTGCGGTACTCAGTTTTTCCCTTTCACCATATGAGCCCTGGATCTTGAATTCAGGTAGCCATACTCCGCAGTACTGCCCTTACCTGCTGAGCCACCTCTCTGGCCTACTTTCTTCATCTTTAACATGAGCGAATAAAAACATCTTATTTACAGCAGTATCCATCCTGAGGGCCAAAGCAAAGAAAATACTTTTGCAAATTGCAAAACACATCATGAGGGTTTGTTATAATTTGTTTTTAACAAATATTTGGTAAATAAACGAGAGGTTTATACCCACATTTGACAATAAAGTCTAAAGCGTACTTAGAAATGAAAACATATGCCCCTGGTTCTGATAGAGCAGGCGCAGCCAGAAGAAAAGTAGTATGGAATATTTTCAATCGGCTCCTAAATGACATGTGTTTACAAGGCCTGAAGAGAGGCCACTCCTGTGCTAACATTCCACAGACTGACTTGAACTTCAGATTACGGGCAGTTGGAATGTTGCTGACAGAAAGCCAAAATTATTTGGGGTGATCCTTAGTCCCCTTGGGAGTCACTAATCATCCACCTCTGTATCAGAGCCCACATTCTCTTGACTTTCAAATAAAAATCTTGAAATACATCACTGCTTAGACTGGATCCACCTAGATTCCATCAACACAGAGGCTAAGAATGCCATGAGACATTAGTGAAACCTGTGTTTTAGAAGCTGCATTCTTTAAAGCTCCAACTTGGATTGAGCCACAAAAGAGTTTTTGTTAAAAATAATTTATTTTATTTTTGATTAATTTGTTATTTTTATTTAATTACATTTATTTATCAGGGAGCGGGCGTGCATGTCATGACATGTGAAGATCAGAGGGCAACTTGTGGAGTTGGTCTTCTCCTCCTGCACCTGGGTTACAGGGACGATACTCAGGGCTCAGGCTCAGCCCTGGGCCACACAGGAAGACCCATTTATATTAATTAAGGATCTCTGCTCATTCACGATAGCTAATGATGAATTGTAACAACCATTTTTGTGGTTTTATTGACCAGGTAGTTTTCAGTACCCTTTTATCCAGACATTTACTTAAAAATAAAAACACTGTTAGACCTTTAAGGTCAATGCGTTGGTTTTTATGCGGAAATTCCAACTTGAACTGTATGTTTATTTATCTCTGCGACAATCAATAAAGAGATGTGGAGGAGTTTGTTTTAGATGGAAATCTTAAAGTTATTTCTGCCATGTCGGTTTGTGTTTCTCAGTTTTGAATCTATATTATCTTTTAAGTCTAGCGGCTGCCTCTGTTAAGAAGGTAAAGAAAGAAAGATCATTTTAAACCTCGAGCTTTCTTCCTGACGAGCTGTTCTCATTTTCTCCCTGTCTCAGAGGTTCTTTTTTTTTTTTAAAATGCGAATCATTAGTATTCTTTGAAAAAGAATTGTCCCCTTGGCCTATAATTATATTTTACCTGGAAATTGAGGGATTTTTTTTCATCTTTTTTTTTTTAATTCAATGCTGTTAGCAGAGAAAGGCCACATAAACCCCCTGCTCACTAACTGAACTCTCCCTATTTACACATTATGATTTATCTAAATTTCCAAATTTATTGTCTAAGCATTCTTCCTGAGTGTAACTGAGCTCTGTTTTCACCCCCCTTTCTCATAAGAAAAATATGTATTTTCTTGAGCTCTCGTGGAATTGGTGCTGGACCGTGACACTCTTGTCCCCTCTCTGAGGTGGTAATATCTTTTGTGTCCAGAGGTGACCAGTATTGTAGGAAGGTTCCTGGGACCCTAGCCACAGCCTTGCAGTGACAACACAACCTCTCACTCTACACCTGTCCCTTTGCAAACCAAGCCAGCCCAGCCCTGGAGCCGCGACACCACCGTACTCCTCCCCTGGTTAGATCCCAAGATGAATAGGCTAGTGACACCCCCCCCCCCCGTGTGGCTCCGTGCTCTGAGACGATATAAAATAATTAATCTTCTTTGAACTGTGTTTGCAATTTTGATTTCAGTCCACTTTTAAAGGTCTGAAAATGTGATAATAGTCCTTTCAAAAATGTTCATTTCTTTCCTAGGCCTAATTCTCTGACTCCCTGAGTATTTAACTCACTACTGCCTTGCAGACCAAGATCATTTGGGTTCAAACTGTAGTTCTAAATACTTCTCCACTTTGACCTTTGCCACAATGTTGGATTTACCGTGTTGATAAACGTCTTAATGCTTCGTTTTGACTGAAGAACATTGTGTTCCAGGCACTCTATTGTGCTTTGTTCTGTTGAACTGTGTAAGACTCCTATGAGGGAGAAAAAAAAAAATAACACCGTCTTACAGATGAAGAGAAGCAGTGAGTTGGGGATGTGCTAAACCACTGTGGGCAGAGCCATGGCTGTCTGGGCTTGTCTGTTCTTTCCAAAGTTCTTCGTGGGCTCCCTTGTGAGGTTCACAGGCAAATGTGGACGAAAGTACATGCTTTCCTCAAAGTGGAAATCTCACCCTCGTCATCTTTCGGCACCTTCTAGTACTTTCCAGAATGTGCCCTGGAAGACCCCTCAGTTCATAGAGCACTTGCCTGTGTGTTCTGTGAAGCAGTCACTGTCACCAGGCTTTCAGGGTTACTCTCAAATTAGTCACCTTGAAGAGAGGCTCCCAGGTGCCCAGGGCAATGTCCCCAGTTAGTTCCTTGGGCAGCTGAGGATAGGGAACCTCAAATGACCCTATCCTATAGCCATACTGATGAATATCTTGCATATCACCATAGAACCTTCATCTAGCGATGGATAGAGATAGAGACAGAGACCCACACTGGAGCATCGGACTAAGCTCCCAAAGTCCCAATGAGGAGCAGAAGGAGGGAGAACATGAGCATGGAAGTCAGGACCATTAAGAGGTGCACCCATCCACTGAGACAGTGGGGCTGATCTATTGGGAGATCACCAAGGCCAGCTGGACTGTGACTGAAAAAGCATGGGATAAAACCGGACTCTCTGAACATGGCGGACAATGAGGGCTGATGAGAAGCCAAGGACAATGGCATGGGGTTTTGTTCCTACTTCATGTTCTGGCTTTGTGGGCGCCTAGCCAGTTTGGATGTTCACCCTCCTAGACCTGGATGGAGGGGGGAGGACCTTGGACTTTCCACAGGGCAGGGAACCCTGACTGCTCTTTGGACTGGAGAGGGAGGGGGAGAGGAGTGGGGGGGAGGGGAAGAGGGGCGGGAGGAGGGGGAGGGAAATGGGAGGCTGGGAGGAGGCAGGAAATTTTTTTCAATAAAAAAATTCAGATTATAAAAAAATTAAAATTTAAAAATAAATAAATACTATTGCACAAAAAAAAGAAAAAAAGGAAAAAAATTTAGTCACCTTGAAGTGAAGAGAGCTGAAGAAGAAGGTTCCTGTTCCTCTGCAGACTCCTCGTACATGGTAGCCTGTCATCTCCCCACAACTTTTGAATCTCTTAAACCATCAGGGGTCCTCCAAACAACTTCCTAAATAAAGACGGTAGCTACCTTACAGCCCATCCAGATAAAACTGTGCAGCTCCTGAAGCCCAGGACTCCTTCCTGGACTTTGGTTAAATTTGCCCCCACTGGCAGGGCCTGGGGCTGCAGCACACCAGCTGAGGTTTAATACAGGGCTAAAAGTTGCTTGTGGTTTCCATTCCTTTTGATTGTGTTTGTTTTCAAGACAGCATTTCTCTGTGTAAAACCTCTGGCTGTGGGCTGGAGAGATGGCTCAGTGGTTGGGAGCGCTGTCTGCTCTTCCGGAGGTCCCGAGTTCGGTTCCCAGCAACCACATGGTGGCTCCAAACCATCTGTGATGAGATCTGGCGCCCTTCTCTGGCGTATGAGTATTGATGGAGGCAGAAAGTTGTATACATAACAAATAAATCTTAAAAAAAAAAAAAAAAAAAACCCTCTGGCTGTGCCAAAACACAACTCTGTAGACCAGACTGGCCTCGAACTCACAGAGATCTGCCTGCCTCTGTTTCCCTCAGGAGTGCTGGGATAAAAAGCTTGCAAAGCCTTCCCCTGCCCCCAGGCTGTGATTTCCATTCTTATCAACCTACATTTGGGGGCAGAACAGAATTTCCTACTGCAGAAAAGGTAACGTTTTTCAGGAACTCAGGTCTAACCAACCGTTCAATTGTGTTTAAGTAAACATTTTGTATTTAACATACAGGTAGTCTACTAGGCATTGGGGAAACCATGGTGAGCAGCCTGGAGTATATACTCTAAAGTCCACAGAAATGCCAGTGGCTTACAGCAAACCACCCAACAGCCACTGCTTCTCCTTTCACTGAGGTGTGATCTTGTCTTCTGTTTTGTATTTAACACGTGTCCTTTGTCTCCCAGCTCTCCATCTTTTCCCTTCGTTTTCTCAACTTATTTATCCCTTTCCCCATCTCTTTTCCTTAGTAAAGATAATATACTAATATTCTACTCAATTCAATATTGACTTTGGGTTACAACAATTTTACTTCCGTACTACTGGCCAAAAGTTTATTTGTTTGGGTTTTTTTTTTTTTTTTTTTTTTTTTACATTTTTTATTAACACAAGGAGCTAGCAATACTTGGGCACTTTCGGAAACCAGATATCCCAAGATGCTCCTAAGACTGTGCCAGGGGCTAGCATTTCACTTGGTACCCTACAGGAGCTATCAGGTTCAAGTCTAGAGCACAATTAACAATAATTTAAGTATCAACTGTTAGCCAACGAACTCCGAGCTGACATCAGCGTATTCTAGAGGGTTGGGTGGCATTACTGAAGCTTGGGTGGGTTTCTGAGAAAGATCCCTTGAAGGTCAATCTAACTGAATCGACAAAAAGGGAAGATGTGGTGAGCAATAGAACGGGTTTGCAAAAGACGTTGAGAGTCTAGAGTACACGACCAGCAGCTACCACCAACTACCACCAGCTTCCGGCGTTATGGTCATGAGAAGCTGGGTTAAATTTCCTGTGCCCCTGCCTCCCTATCTGCTAGCTTTGGCGCTATCAGGAAACCTTTTGAGTCAACCTCAGTGAGATTCTTCATGTTTAAACCTGTCAACCACTTGTACTCATTTTGTACCTTTGAAGAAATCTTTCTTGCTTTACCTACTGGCTATGTTACTTTTCTTGTTGCTAGTACAATACCAGACAACAGCGGTGGAAGGAAGGAAGGTATTATTTGAACCACAGTGTGGGGTCAAGAAGGCACAACAGGGGGCTAAGATAGCTAATGACCTTGCATCCACAGTCAGGAAACGAGGAGCCTGACCCATGGGACAGATGGTACTTCTCACATCCAAGTTATAGATCTCTACATCAGCTAAACCTCCTTGGGAACACCCTCCCTGAAACATGCAGAGGTCTGTCTCCTGGGTGATGCTAGAGCTCGTGAAGCTGGTAGTCAAAATTAACCACCATCACACATATATATCTAAGCTTGCAGGGACATCACCTCAGCAGGCAGTTCAAAGGTACATTTTGAAAAATTATTTGCTTAAAAAATGGGCTCTCCGGAAGGTCCGACTGTTACCACTGGAATAACAGATAACATCTGCAGGTGTTTTTGTTGCTTTCAGTCACAAAAGCTGCTGGATAACCTGTAGTCCATAGGACAGACCCTGCAGCCAACAAGGAGAAATACATATAAAGGCCAATTCTGCGGAGAGGACCAAATGGACCCCGTATTTGTGCTCACTGCAACAGCCTAAGAGCATCAGATGAGCGGACAATTATGCGGCCATTTTGATAAAGATGCAATGGAATGGGAATCTTGTCTTTTGCTACAACTTTTCCAAATGGCACCTATAATATTTTCCAAAGACCTATAATAACACGTCTTGTTTACTCAGGAGATAATTTTGATCAGTCTTAGAAATAAACATAAATAAAACCCAATCTTTTAGAAATAACACGAAATCTTAGTTATAGGAATAACACTAATACTACTTAGAAAAATACTTCTCATAGCTTAATGAACGACAGGGAAAACTGGAGACTTCATAAGGGAGAAGTTGAACACACCCAATGAGAGGGCTGTTTTGTAACCTTCTTACTGATGTTTCTTAGCATTTTATAGTGCTTTGGAAAATTATTAGCTATGGTTTGAAGAAAGAGAAAAGAAACTGAGGCGAGATGGTTCAGTCAGTGACAGTGGTCATCTCACAAACGTGAGGCCCTGAATGCTACCTACCTGAATTCCGCAGGCATGGTGGTATACACTAACTCCCGGCATGGGCTAAGACATATATAAGAAGATCCCAGTGCTTGCCAGTTAGTCTAGCCTAACTGTGACCTTCAAGCCATGAAAGACTTGAGACGTAACAGCGTTCCTCAGAAGCACACTTAAGAGTGTCCTGTGGTTGCCACATACACATGCACACACTTGCACATATGTGTACGTACATGACACACACACCACAAACACACGCACACAAACACACACACATTACAAAGCAGAAGAAAATAAATATATACATCAGAGCAAAGCAGAATAAATCAGGGAATGAAAGATTGAATACAGCAAGAAAGCCATCCATATTCATTGATTTCCAGAAGTTTTGATCGATATCTAGCATTTCAGGCACACTCTAAAGGTTGACTAATGTATGCTGAGATGCATTGGCATATTGCATTGTCTGGTATGTACCAGCTGAGATTTCTTTCACATATGCCAAGTTTTCCTGGATTTAAAATGTAAGGCAAATAGTTCTTTTCAACCTTCTAAGGAGGCGGTTGTGTTACATGAGACATATTAAACGTGGAGCACACACTCAAGCACTTTGATGGGGATGGGAATTGAGATCGTCTCTCAGGAAGTTACAGTGTTAGTGTGCATGTGCTTCAACACAGCCATTCGACATTATCTGAGAAGCACTCTCGAATACTTACGCAAAGCAAAGAATGAACCAAGATGCCCATTGTGCCGTGGTTTGTATGAGAAAGCATTGCAAGGAAACTAAGTATTTAGCAATGGTGGGATGATAAAATAAATTGATGTACTATGCACCACCAATCTTATCAATGGAAGTTACCTGTATTTGCGTCAATATTTTTTTGTAATACTAGTAAAAATCTCCTTAAAAGCAATTGACTGAAGGGCTGGGAAGATGACTCGATAGGTAAGATGCTGCTTGTGCAAACATCTGGGTCCAGACACTCGATACCTACATAAAAAGTAGCCAGGAGTGGCATGCAGCATGCATTTGCAATCCCAGCACTGGGAGTGGCAGATTCACTTATGTCCAGGAGGTTGCTGGTCAGCTAGCCTACCCAAAACGGCGAGATCCGGGATTACTAAGAGACCTGCCTTAAAATAGAGGATAGATAGATAGATAGATAGATAGATAGATAGATAGATAGATGATAGATGATAGATAGATAGATAGATAGATAGATAGATGATAGATAGATGATAGATGATAGATAGATAGAGGAGAGCAATAGAAGATGCCTAATGTCAACCTATGGCTTACACATCTCTCTCTCTCTCTCTGTCTCTCTCTCTCTCTCTCTCTCTCACACACACACACACACACACACACACACGTTGTGTAATAAACACAGACAGACGACAAGTCCCAGTCTACCTTGACTGCCACTTAAACTCTCCGAGAATCCTGAAATGGAAATCATTGCTTGTAATGACTAGTAACTGTTGTAGCCCAAACCTGAATTAGCTTCACTGCTATGGAGAATCTCAAGACAGCCCTGCTGTTTCTGGAGAGATTCAGCAATTTGTGTGTGTGTGTGTGTGTGTGTTTTCGGTGATTCCAAATTCATATTAGTTGTCCTCAGCTTTATTTCAAAACTCTTTTCGTGCAAGTAATTTTTAAAAGTTGCCTGCCCAGACCCCTGCTTGCTTAACT